CGTCCCGGCGTACTGCCCAGTTCCCGGTGGATAGTCGGATGGACGCGGTGGTCACGGCCGCGAAACTCCGTAGTTGATTTAAACAATAAATCTTTCCAACGAGTAATTGCAAAAATCTCGGGCGCCACGGCGTCGGTACACCGACCAGGGTCCAGGGTTCAATCTTAACGTCCAGGGTCTGTGTGGCGTCCAACTGAACCGGACTAGACCCGAAGACCGGTGTTATGTACGTATTTCTACGTTTACGGCTGAATTGAATCTCCACAGGCTGAGGTTACAAAACCTCCCTAACGAGTGATCGTAAACCCCCGTGGAACGCCGCGGCGTCGGGGCACGGACCGGCGTCTAGCGTCCCGGCCTACTGTCCAGTTCCCGGCGTGGCGGTCGACTGGACGGGACGGCCGCGGCCGCGAGGCTCGGTAGGTAGGAGCGAGGATGCTGCGGATGCAGAGGAGACTCTCCCTCTTTCTCCCCCTCGTTTCGCCGCATTCCGTCCCTCTTCATCCCTCCCCAGCCCCTGCGCCCTGTGCCCTGCGCCCTTGCGCCCGCGGAACCCCCTACGCCGACCGGGCCTAACCCCAGCCCCGCTCCATGTCGCAATGTATCCGCAGTCGAAACCCGCCGAAAGTAAACCCAACGTCTTTTCTTTGCGGAGCCTTCCGACGAAAACTTACCCTCTTTATATTGAGGGTATGCCGGTTTTGTCGGTGCCGAGGGTAAAGCGGGTACGCAGGAATGATTACTTAACGTGATATGAAAGAGTCAGCCTATACATATGTGCCCATAATTATGAAAGTGGTCTAAGTCATATATTTTTTGTTTCGAAATTACATTGAATTAATTTAGTTTAAAATAATGTGGCGTGAAATAACTGATAAACTCTTTTTTTTTTTTTAATTTTGACTTAGACCACTTTCATAATTATGGGCACATGTGTATCCAAAAAATCCAATCGTTGGTGAAAGTATTCTCCGAATTGGGTCTACCGATTCGTTTCTAATTTTACCACGTGAATGTGGAGGCTCTACAGTAGGTCCTAAAACTCATGAAATTTTATATTTCATCCAAAATTTATTTACTTGTCACGGACTAGAACCGACATGACGTGGTCCCTGCACGTTTTCGATGTCTTATACTTCTTGGAGGCTTAGAATTGAAAATGAAGAGTTTCAGGACCTAGCTCGAACAATTTAGAATACCGTAGAAATGGAATATTACAGAGTTATATGGGAAGATATGGAAAATACTTTCACCACCGATTGTAGGAGAATGCTAGCTTGTCTCGGGGCTGATACGTGTTTTTAGAGCAAAAATTTAGTTGCAGCTACACGTCACAGATGGCGACGTTGGTCCTAAACAGTTGTTAGAATAATGATTCACTGGATTTCGACAGTTATACATCGATCTCTTCATCACTGCTTTACCGAAATGACATATGGAATGCTTCAATTAGGATAATTCTCAGCGTAGACAGTAAAAGACTTCGACATAAATATAAATGTCGGTAACGTGAAGCGCCAGCTTATGTTCCCACTTGAGTATTCAAAATGACGTTTCCACCAAAAACGGTACGGATGAATTTTAATTTATCGACCAGATTTTGGCCATCGAGGGATAGAATAATCTACCGGAACGTTGGCAATGATTTTCTAATTATTAGTTGCTACGCTAACGATGATTTCTCGGCAAGGAAGGAGGTGTTTTCGGTCAATTTAACCCTTTCGTTACCTTGGACGAGATATCTCGCGACGCAATACTGGCCGATCAACGCTTTTGACGAGATATCTCGCGATCCGATACTGGCCGATCAACGCTTTTGACGAGATATCTCGCGATCCGATACTGGCCGATCAACGCTTTTGACGAGATATCTCGCGATCCGGTAGCAGCGGATTAACGCTTTTAACGATAATCTAGCTTTCTAGCACCAATATTTTGACATTCTAGATGAATACATTTTATAACTAATTCTATTCGTATAGCTGAAAGGAAGAAATAAATACAGCTACTACCGGATCGCGAGATATCTCGTCAAAAGCGTTAATCGGCCACTACCGGGTCGCGAGATATCTCGTCAAAAGCGTTGATCGGCCAGTATTGGGTCGCGAGATATCTCGTCCAAGGTAACGAAAGAGTTAATGAGCCTAATTTTGCGATCGTATCGGTTTATGGAGAGTCGACGTTAACGTCAGATTTAGGATTATTTGTCGATGTACATGTCAAGCAACTCGCGATTAACAAGCCTCCTAATTAAAGCGACAGTTAGCGGGTATTGAATGCGCGGATTCTCAACTGCGAATTGTGGACACAGACTGTATGACCCTCATAACTAATAATCGCACTTCGGGGCGGCCGATCAATCGAGTACACACGTGACAACTGTATCTACATTGTAGGCATTGACAGGGGGGTGTGATATGTTTTCCTTCGTTTGAATCGTTCGCAGATTTAGCCCACGACCAAATTTGATCATCAATCAAGTCCGATTGCTCAATTACTGTGTCTCGCTTCCTGAGGTAATTTTACACATGTCACGAAACATGAGCTCTTTGTTGAAAGAAATCAAGGAAGCGTACATATCGCAAGAAACGCGATAAGAGGAATATTCTAAGCAGGATACGCGAACTCATTGTGCATTTGCACATATGTCTCCGAGAAACTCATGAGACGGTTCCTAATTATCGATCACTTCCCCTAGTAGCACAGAATAATTTCTAAATATTTTTTATAATTTTTGCTAAATATCTCAAGCGACAGATTTTTTAAGACGTCTCGTAGATTTAATTCCAAGATATCTAAAATATTTGTTGAAAATCTCAATGACATATTTAGTTTTAATTATTTAAAAACATTTATCGAAATTATGTTTTTAATTTGTAAAATATAATAGAAATACGTTATTTACTTTACGATTATTATCGGACACTTCATTTGGTATGAAAAGACACGAGAAATTTTTGCAATATTTTCGTTCCGCTATTTCATAATGGGAGCAAAACGTGCGAGTTTGATTTTAAATATTTTTAAAACGCTTATAATGTATTCGGCAGGTAATATTAAAAAAAAAAATACTTATATTAAAATGAAACGAAACGTTTTGTATATCTGTAAGAAAGATATTATGAATCACATGGAGCTAATATTGTACAAAATATTATGAAAATAATATTCTTAAGTAAATATTTTGCAAATATTTCAAATGTCTGCTGAATATTTACAAATTGTACGATATTCTTAAATATATAGAAAATATAACAGAAATATATTATGCTACTAGGGTCTTATCTCGGGAAGTCCCCGTGGGGTATCTCGCTGACGTAAAACGGCAAACTTCATGTCAAATTTGACTGATATACCCGATACACCTTATCCGCGAGATTTCATCTTCAAGAATATCGACGAGTCCGATAAGAGAGCGCGTGGAGATTTGTCATCCAATAAATTTACTCCTACTTGCTAAAGAGAGGTGACACTTTACATACGTAATGCGTAACGTATAAATATGTTTTCGACAAAATCACGTACGTCTCCTAATCATCGATCACTTTCTTATCTTGAAATGTCTCAGTGGGGTATTTTACCCTGGTTAAGGTGAAGTGAAACACGTCGAGGAACTTGATCGACGTCGATAAAGAATATTTTTCTAAATGCCTACGTTACCGACGTTCGTTTTTATATTCACAGCTATGTCGAATTATATTCGACATTGTACAAAATGGATGCATACTCCACCTGTCGTTTTCGTACAATAAATATCAAGAAATCCAAGTAAAATTCCAGAAATCCCCTGTATTTATGGTTTCCGAGGCCCTAATTGACTGCAGAGGGACCCCCTACGCCATCTGTGATTTCGAGGTCAATTAAATTTTCACTCCGAGACCTCGTATTCCCATCGTTTTGGCATAGAACCGCATACAACAATTTTTTTTGCCTGTATCCCGTTCAAATGCGAGTTTATCGATTACCAGAGTGTTTTAAATTGTTGTAAAATTGTCCTGACCATTTCGTTTCTCATATCGGAGCCTTCGATAATTGTATATTGATCGAAATATGAGAGTTCGAGGCCATGTTGGTTCTGGTCTGGGGTGAGTTAAAAAATTGTTTCCAAAAATCCAAATTTTAAATGTGTCAGGTCAATTCTTAGATGATCAGGAGTGATGTGTCAAAGTTTCGGACAATTTGGTCTAATACCCTTAAAAAAAAGTGTTGTATTCAAATCGACTGATTTGAAGGGGGTTTCACTTCACCTTAAGCGTCAATACTTATGTCAAATTTCGCCTAAGCTCCATATATCTTGTCCATAAGAATATCGATACCATCGATAACAGCGCTCAGAGAGGCTCTCTAATCGGGTAGATTTATTGTCTAATTAATTTACTCCCACTGACTATGTAGAGGTGACGTTCTGCCACTCGATGTGTTATCCTGGCTGTGAACCATAGCAAGCAGATTGCTATCACAACGCCTCACCGCAGTTAAGCAGTAGGCGGTGATTGATATCGATTACTTGCTCCACGTCCTGCCGAGTATATTTAATGATAAACAAAGCCGGGGGTCGGGAAAGATTAAGAAAAAATTAATAGGTGTCTGAAATTACAAGACGAACACAATTTGAAATCCACGCAATGCTTTTATGGCAGTTTCCGTATTGTCGCGAAGTCGCTAGTCAATCGAGATCGGTAATGACGATCTTAAGGTGATATGAAAGTGTCACATATATATCCACACACCACAAAGACAAAATATTTATAAATCCACTCCAAACTGGTTGCACCGAATCATTTGAAACTTCAGCAAGCGATTACGAAGACCCTAAGGAAGAACGCGATGCTCGTGAAATTTCATTTTTCAAACGACTTTTTTTTTTTTTTTATTTAGCCCAGACTAGAACCAAAGTGACATTTTGCTTTTTCGAAAAATGAAATTTCACGAGCGTCGGGTTCTTCCTTAGAGCCTCCATAATCACGGGTTAAAGTTTCAGATAATTCGGTGCACCCAATCTGGACAAAAAGTTATATAAATATTTTTACTATTTGGTATGTATACATGACACTTTCATATCACCTTAAGGGGTTTTGATATTTATCATTCGAGTTTATCAGTGACATTAATTTCACGTCATCATTCGAAAGAGATGCAAGAATTTGTCTTAAACTTTGATAATTAAATAGACCAAACGAAATGAACAGCACTGATAAATTCGTATTTACAAGTCCTCTTAATTCGTCATTAAAGGCACCCTCGTGATTCTCGCTAATCTCATACAAAAATATACAATGTTCTTGCATTATGTCCCACTTAATAGTATCTACGAGAGTGTATTGGGTTCTTTATCTGGCCTCGTATTAGGAACCATAGGGAGTTGTCGCGTTCAATCGATTCGACGAATCTCGTGCATAAAAGACGTCTACTTGTCCTCATCTAAGTATATCCGAGTCGATTCCGTGAATTACGATTCGCCTGATTGCACTGACTCGCACACAGAGAGTGTAATTAAACCTGCACGACGTACCGTAGAAGCATTCCGGCATTTATGCAGAAGGATGCGGTAACATTTGCAAGTAGAGCACATATAAGAGGCATTAATTGCACGCTAGTTAATTATGGTGACGTCGTTCTCGGAATCGATCAGTTGTTATGTCGTCTTGAGGTACTTTATGCTGCGACCTTGGCTATGATTAAACACGTTGATTAAAGACGCCGGCCTTTAATGATTTCAATAGATGCTCGGAGGTTAAATTAGGAAATAAATGTCTCATCGTTGCCGTGCATTTACATACGGGCTCTTTAGACTTCTACAAAATGGCAGCAATATCTAATGTGCAAAACAAAATACCGAGTTTCTTGCTATCGATGTCATTTCTCGCGCCTTTATTTCCGCGCTTCACGGTGGACTTGTTGTGAAAGTTCGTATTTTTAAATATATTCCATTTCTTTGGTTTCTAATTTAAATTACTTTTATACCAGCTGAATATATAACACACATAGGACTGTTATTTGTTTTTTTATTATAGAAGATTTTATGCCCCGGTTGATGCAGCCCCATGGGATTCACCTGATCACCTCGTATTATTTGATTTATAAGGTGCTTTTTATATGGATGATATGAAGCAATATGGAATATACGTCCACGAATCGTTGGAAAAGAGAATGCAACAAATACTGGTATTGATATTGAATAGAAAACTATAACTTGAGAATTATTAATTAATCACAAGAACTGTAGTTTGCTGCGCCGTTTTTCATAGACCGATGCGATTTTCTCATTATCAAATATTTTCACACGATAAAGAATTATGCACAAGGTAAATTCGATTCTGCCTGTGGATATCTGTTTTCAAGGCGTAACAAATATTCTTTGACTTTTGTTATTTAGTGCCTGACTCGTGAGTGCAGCAATTATTTGAATAAATGGTTACATGAGCCTCCGAGCACCTATGATTACGGTGCTTAATTCATTACTAAAACGTTTTCTTCACGCACATCACACAAAGGAAGCACATTGTCCCGTCTACTAAAATCTCGCGCGTTAAATGCATTCACTTTCCTAAATGCAAACTTTCTTTGCTCTTGCGAACATTTCTGGTAATGTTTCTAACGAAAATGTTCGCTGAGAAACAACAACGAGCGATCCTTTGGATCGTTGGAAGCGATAGATCCTCGACGCGCAAACGCCGATTCCTCGGAAATGGCAGATTCCGATACTCCCGTTCGAGTTTTTAGTTTTATGTACACGCGACTGAAGAGTATTTACAAGAAAACAAGGCAGTCTTTCCTTAGAAATCTCTGTTGGTCGCCGTCTATCACGACTTAGAAAGGTTTGCGAGCCTCTCCTGTTCTCGGCGCCTCTCCCATTGGTTGACCCTCTTCAGAGGATAGCATATCACCGCCGACATCAGGATCAAGGATCCTGAGAGGTAGAATGAAGCATCATAGCTCCCTGTAGCATCCATGAAAGCTCCTGAAAGAGAAATAAATGCCAAATCATTCCCAAGGAAAGATTGCCCAAAATATATTGCATTTTCTCTCCAATATTAAGGTGATAGTAAGCCTATTTATATCTGAGAAGTCAAATCGTTGAGGAAAGTATTCCACAAATTGGGTGCACCTATTCGTTTGAAATTTTACTCCGTGAATATTGAGGCTTTCAAGTAGATCCTGAAACTCATGAAATGTTATTTTTCATCCAAAATTTATTTATTTGTCATGGACTAGGACCGACATGGCGTGGTCCGTGTATGTCTTCGATGTTTTATACTTCTTGGAGGCTTAGAATTGAAAATTAAGAGTTTCAGGACCTAGTTCGAACCATTTGGAATACTGTAGAAATGGGATATTACAGAGTCAGATGGGAAAATATGGAAAATACTTTCACCAACGATTGCAGGAGAATGCTGGTTTGTCTCGGGGCTAACATGTGTCTTTAGAGCAAAATTTTAGTTGCAGCTAAACGTCACAGATGGCGACGTTGGTCCTAAACAGTCGTTAGAATAATGAGTCACGGAATTTCGAAAGTTATACATCCATCTCCTCATCTTTACTTTACCGAAATGACATATGGAATGCTTCAGTTCGTATCATTCTGAACGTACACTGTAAATGACTTCGAGATAAATATAAATGTCAGTAACGTGACGCGCCAGCTTATGTTCCCACTTGAGTATTGAAAATTGTTTTACCGTTACCACCAAAAAGTGTACGAATGAATTTTAATTTATCAACCTCGATTAAATTTCTCAGCGCCTTTCATATCGTCTTAAAATATTTGAATAAAAGGATAAGAAGTGAGTTCAATGATTAAAATCGATTATTGATAAGCGCTAATCTCTATAACCAATATCGCTTAGACTGTTCAGAGTGTTGAATTCGATATAAAGGTAAATGTTAACGATGTAATTACCTGCTAGAGGTGCACCAACAGTGGCGGCAACCCCTTGGAAAAGAAGAAGCAGTCCGAAGGCATTTGTAAGTTTCTCCAGTCCCATGAGATCGACCACGAGAATCGACCTCAAAGAAGCGAAGACCGCTATAAAATAAAAGTTATACAATTATTCATACGAACATGAAATATATGATTAAGTACGAAAGTGGAATTTTATAAACTGTTTCATCCTATTCATTTTATAAAGTATATTTGTATGACAGATATTGCAGACATTGTAATCAAAGAGCTATTTACATGCTTTTGTCATCGCACTATATCGCGATCGTCTAATAAATATGTACCATTTCTAACAATATAATACTATTCTCATCATCTACAATAGCTTTTGCGGGAGTACTATTGCTGATTTCTTTTCAGGAAACTTTTCGTCTACTATGATCAATATGTAGTTCACGAAACAAGTACATATCAAATTAACGCAAAATAGAAACGGTTCTTATATATACTCAACTGAAACCGACTGCATAAAAGAACTGATATTCTTCCGATTGGGAAATTACTGATAATATGGTCGCTATTCCCCCGATACTGATAAAGATGTTGTTAACTACGAGAGCATCCACAAATGCAAATTATCGCGAAATAAAAATGGTTCTCACATATACTCAACCCGAAACTGGCTGCATAAAAGAATTGATATTCTTCCGATAAGGAGATTCCTGATAATATGGTCGCTATTCCCCCGATACTGATAAAGATGTTGTTAACTACGAGAGCATCCACCCCCGGTATGCTGCTGGCCACTCCGCATACAACACGTCCCACGGTGTTACCAATACCGATCACGGAGACCAAGAACATCGAGGTCGATGCTTGGATTCCGGACATGATGGCCCGATCTGTTGGCAGAGAGATTTATTCGATAGATTGCACACAGATATTATCGAAGCAAATGGTCTGGGAGTAAAATGCTGAATGCTAGTTCGCTCCGAGATAAGATAAATTTCGACCGGACGCATGCATGTAAACGCAGAGCATAGATGCCAAAAATTCAACGTCCTGAAATTTGTAAAGAGAAGAGGAACTCTGAGAGCTTGTTATAATTTACATTTATTCGTTAAATACCAAATCGAGATCGTTCAATCTACTTTAATCGCAGGAAATAAAGAGTGAGACTTTTCGTCCTGTATTTATATGAAGTTCTACGTTTTCATTATTCCCAAATAATTTGGATCTTTGTACTTATAAATGAGAAGAAGATTTAATTGACGAAAGTACTCGTTAAAGTCTACTGAAATTATGTAAATTGAATTGTGTATTCTAAACTGTACCTGGCAGATACATGAAGGGCGTATAGAATCCCATCATAGTAAGGCCTCCACTGACTGCTAAGATCAAGAAAGAAGGGCTTTTAAGCAGGCTCAAATCCAACATAGTTGTTAAGATTCGTCGTACACTTTCTGGACACAGGTAACAACTTCCGCTTTCCTCTTCCGCGACATCTCTTGCGGTTGGTAACCTGGTTACGGACATGTGATAACCAACCGAGGACAACTAGAAAAAGAGATTGACTTTGTAATCGCCTTCGTGGGAACATTTCAATGATTTTAACCGGTGATCAAAAAATATATTGGCAACTTCGTCAAGTTACATTAAAATTGTATCAATTTATATTATTTTCTGTGTTATCTTAGGCTTCCCACTTATCGATTTAAGGCATTTTTACACATTCAATTTACCATAGATAAGAAAGGACGAGAATCGATTAAAGTTATGTGCAATTGTTGTCAGGCAGATACCTGGGATTTATAATGCGGCAACCTGTGCAAAGAACCTCCGTAAAAGATATCATCTCTGTAAAATGGCCTCTGTGTATCTTTGGTTAACGTCCCTCTTCTGCTCGTCCTCAAGGACTTTTGGCTTCCGTCTGAATTGGCCCGCAGATGACGTTCGCTAATCGTGTGCCTTCGGATCTGAAAAAAAAAAAAAAAGAAGTGAGACTCGTTACAAAACCTGCTTGAAAGATATCCCACTTGAAAGAATCAAGGACACTCGTTTGGCTTTAGAAATGTCAGTGTTAACCAAAACTACACACCGTTGGTATCCTTCCGTTGAGCCTAGCCAGATCTCCACTCAGCAGATTGTTCTCCTCTTCCACAATTTTTAGTTCTTGGTCGTCGTTGACGTCCAACTCGGGATAAATCGGAACAGATAATCTCTTCTCCGAGGTGCTCAGTTTTCTCTCTAACTTTGGCACCATGTTCATCTTATGTAACGAGTGCAACGAACGGCTACTAAAATGATTAAAATATAAAAGATAAACGTCACTAGTTGTAAGAATACCATATAACCATCCAAATCCATAATGATAATTAGGAAACATATTATTATTAGGAGAAGGCGTTAAGGAAATTTTGAAACATCAAAAAGCCTTGAAAATTGTTTCTTCGATTTTATATGTTTTTCTTTTTAGACGTCATGTATTGTGTAGGAGGATTTTATATGTAATGAAAGGTAATTACTTCATTATATCTGGACTACTGCCAATCACTTGAGCCGCTGTAGGGTACTCCATATTGTTGTTGGTCCCAAAAAACCGATGTCTAATCGGTTGACCCACGTGCAGCGAAGTCGTAGAAACACCTTTTCCCATCAAAGGTGTTTTGGTTTCGTTACCGACATCTTCCGGTTGCTGCGCCTTTACTTTAATTCGAGTCGGTTTCAAAGGACGAAACATCGCTCCAAAAATCGCACAATTCAGAAGCATTCCTGGAAACAGAACTTAATGTTACGTTCTAGATCATGAAACGATTTTCTTCCTTGAGAAGCGATTGCCTTTGATTTCATACGATAAAGAACAATGCGATTCGATGACAAGTAACAATCGGCCTTAAGATGTGATGAAAGGCGCTGAGAAAATTAATCGACGTCGATAAATTAAAATTCTTCTATTCCCCTTTTGATGATAATGCCATTCCGAATACTTAAGTAGTAACATAAGCTGGCGCGTCACGTTACCGACATTTATATTTATGTTGATGACTTTTACTGTCTACGTTGAGAATTATACGAACTGAAGCGGTCCATATGTCATTTCGGTAAAGTAATGACGAAAAGATCGATGTATAACTGTCGAAATCCCGTGAATTCATTATTTTAACGACTGTTAAGGGGCAACGTCGCCATCTGTGACGTTTAGCTGCAACTAAATTTTTGCTCGAAAAATACGTATTATCCACGGGATAAGCCAGCATTCCATATTTCCCCATCTGACTCTGTAATATTCCATTTCTACGGTATTCTAAATTATTCAAGTTAGGTCCCGAAACTCTTCATTTTCAATTGTAAGTCTCCAAGCGTAAAATATCGAAAACGTGCACGAACCACGCCATGTTGGTTTTAGTCCATGATAAATAAAGTTTTGATGAAAAATGAAATTTCGTGAGTTTCAGGACCTACTTCAGGGCCTCCATGTTGACGTGGTAAAATTTTAAGCGAATGGGTATACCCAATTCGGAAAATACTTTCCCCAACGATTTGACTTCTCAGGTATATATAGACTCTCTTTCATATCACATTAATAGGCTTCGTAATATTCTTACGAACTGAAGCGTTACATATGTCATTTCGGTAAAGTAATGATAAAAAGATCGACGTAAAACTGTCGAAATCCCGTGAATTCATTATTCTAACGACTGTTAAGGGGCAACGTCGCCATCTGTGACGTGTAGCTGCAACTAAATTTTTGCTCTAAAAACACGTGTCAGCCCTGAGACAAGCCAGCATTCTCTTGCAACCGTTGGTGAAAGTATTTTCCATATTTTCCCATCTGACTCTGTAATATTCTATTTCTATGGTATTCTAAATTGTACGAGCTGGATCCTAAAACTCTTCATTTTCGATTTTAAGCCTCCAAGAAGCGTAAAACAGCGAAAACGTACACGAACCGCGCCATGGTGGTTCTAGTCCGTGATAAATAAATAATTTTTGTCTGATGAATGAAATTTCATGAGTTTCAGGATCTACTTGAAAGCCTCCATATTCACGGGGTAAAATTTGAAACGAATAGGTGCACCCAATTCGGAGAATACTTTTTCCAACGATTAAACCTCTCAGATATATATACGCTGACTCTTTCATATCACGTTAAGATTGCGGTAATATTTTGGGTATTTCCAACCATGTCCAGATAATTTCCGCGTGATTTCGAGCATTAAAATCCATTTCCTGAATTAATGCCCCCCGTTATTTTCTTTGCGGATACAACTCTGTATACCATATCTTTTGATAAAACCAGGAGTTTTATTTTTTCCCCCACGAAGAACAGAAGGAGATTAAAGGACCTTACCACCCTGGATCAGCAATGCTCCTCTCCATCCGAACTGCTTGATTAACAAATCGGAGATAGGCGCAAGTAAGAAGGCTCCGATCCCGGAACCGCAGACTGCAATGCCGGTTGCCAAAGCTCTCCATCTTTCGAAATAAAATCCCGTCGTTATCACAGCGGGGACGTAAATCAGTCCGCCAGCGATGCCTCCTGAAGATTTCATTGAAAAGAAAAACAATAATAATAAGAAAGAAATGATTGAAGGTACCCTTTATTGGAATAATGCATGATAACTTCGTGTAAAGTAACTTTGGGAAACAAGGCCTATATGGGGAGCAAGGTCCATGTATATATTTCACCATATAGCAAAAGTGCAATGTTTGTGGCTCCCTCTGCCAATTAGTAGGACAAAGAAGAGTCCATTGCGAGTATTGTCGAGGCTGTGGACGGATCCATGGTAAACCGAGATTGATAAGAAATATTTCCGAGTGAGTTTGACCAAATTTGTTTGCAGCGTTCAAGCTGTTATCACAAAGTTTTATACAGTCCTGTTCTGCCTAGCAGGTATGTACTACCTTACACTTTTCTCTACATCCTGTTGCACGAGTTTTGTTGAAAAGGTTGTTGTTTTAAAAATGATAACTTGGAAATGTAAATTGCGCCGAACGGAAACAAAGCCCGGCATAGGACAGCATAGCGCAACCAAAGATCTTTTTCAAAAAAGACATGAAACTATGACTAGTTGCTGGAAATACAACGTCGCAACAAAATTTGAGCGAAATACCTTAAAAAAACGAAGCCTGGTATTTGAAAGAAGACCGAGAACTGATACCGTAGCCTTTATCAAGAAAATAGGGTTGCCGATATGCGGCAACGTACCTTGTGCAAGAAATATCTTTACGAAGAATGCTCGAAGACAACATTCGAGGATCTTGATGACATAACTTGCCCTAACAGTGCAAATTAATGTGCATTCTCCCATCGATGTCCGTGGGCCTTATTACCTATACGGTTCGGTAACAAAACCCAGGAGCACCATCCTGCAATTTTTTTTAATTACGTATTTATTTAGAATGATATTTTCTTTTTATAGTTCGTAGCTGAAACAAATATTGTTCATGTACCCTCTTCTCAAAATACTTTATGTTTTGGTTTCTACAGGCCTTTCAAGTTATGGTGGGCTTTATTATCCAAAGTTACCTTATGTAAATTTATGAAGGATGCCCCAAGAAAAACGTCTCCGAGTAAAAATGGCGACGTTCTTGGTAGAAGTCGAAACAACATGTCTAGCGGCACTTCCAATAAATGGTCTGACATTTGTAACAAGTAGATTGCATGTACGAACACCACCGTGGACTGAGTAATTGGACATACCGTTGCGTTTGTAATCATTGGAATACATTAATGCACGGCACAGTGAATGGAAAGAATATAAAGTGCACTTATCATCGAGTTAGTCGCAACTGTTACATCAGTACCCGGCAAGGAGCTTTGCTTTGTTTTCCAGACTATTTTCCATCCCAGTGATTTGTATAAGAGGGCGGATTGATAAGAACTAATGAATCCATTTCTCTGAATTTCAGTAATTGCATCCTCCTCTTATCGGTGTGCGGATACTCGAGGTAATGTAACACTTAATCGTACTTTATTATTAGTAATATAAGGTAAACGAATAACAATTTGTAAGATTTGTAAGAAGAAAGAAATGCTTTATTATCTATCGTTTATGACTGTCAATTTGGAAATATATCGAAAAGGACCTGGTAGAATATGTTCGTAGATTTCAACATTGTTCTAGGTCTCCCGTACTAGGATTGAGATAAATATAAATAATTTAAGGGGGCAACAAAATTGATTTTATGAAATTACGTTGTAATATATCTTAAAGTCGTCCGTGAACGAAATATCTTTGCAGCGTAATAAGAATTACGTTTGCATTCCATAATGCAATCTTCCGTACAGAGTACATACTGCGTGACGTTATTCGGAGGGAATTGAACGATTTTATCCAACGAAGCGAAAATCCAGGGGTTATTGTCACCGACTTATTGTCAAAGTGGTATCCATTTAGAATACGCACTGCATGAATGAGATTGCAAGGGTGTCGTAAACAAACTTATGCAAGACGTTCAAAACGCTTACTCGAAGGATCACTTATTCACTCGTTGTCGAATCTCACCCACGACTGTAATCTCGATCAATATAAGATAATGTATATCAGTTGCGACACTGTAATAATTAAGATTAATCTCGAGGTAAATGCACTTCATGGCATTCATTCATTACCTTTCATCTTAATGTAAGCATAGCAAATCATTCATTATACGACATCTCGAAACGACATTTTCACGTTCTCTGTAGTCTGTTTAAGATGATATGAAAGGCGCTGAGAAATTTAATCCAAGTCGATAAATTAAAATTTATCTTTACCCTTTTTGGTGGTAACGTCATTTTGAATACTCAAGTGGGAACATAACCTGGCGACATTTATATTTATGTTGAAGTCTTTTACAGTCCATGTGGAGAATTATACGAACTGAAGCGTATCATATGTCATTTCGGTAAAATAATGATAGGGTGATCGACGTAAAACTGTCGAAATCCCGTGAATTCATTATTCTGACGACTGTTTAGGACCAACGTCGCCACCTGTGACGTTTAGCTGCAACTAAATCTTTGCTCTGAAAAACACGCGTTAGCCCTGAGACAAGCTAGCATTCTCTTGCAAGCGTTAGTGAAAGTATTTTCCATATTTTCCCATCTGACTCTGTAATATTCCATTTCTACGGTATTCTAAATTGTTCGAGCTAGGTCCTNAGATCCAGTTTGTAGGTGTCGTTAAGTTTCATCTTGCTTTGTTCTCAATGGTAAAAAGGAATTTGAAAGATCTTCTTGATGAATTTTCATTAAGCGAATGGCGTTATTTCTAATAGTAAATGGTTTCTTTTACTCAAACGTTCCTGTATGTTTATGTTGTACAGGGATTAAGGTAACTTTGGGTAGTAAGGCCCATGTGGGTAGCAAGGTCCATGCTTATTTTTCACCATATAGCAAAAGTGCAACGTTTGTGGCTCTCCCTGCCAGTTTGTAGGTGTCGTTAAGTTTCATCTTGCTTTCTTCTCAATGGTAAAAAGGAATTTAAAAGATCTTCTTGATGAATTTTCATTAAGCAAATGTCGTTATTTCTAATAGTAAATGGTTTCTTTTACTCAAATGTTTCTGTATGTTTATGTTACACAGGGATTAAGGTAACTTTGGGTAGTAAGGCCCATGTGCATAGGCCCATAGCAAGGTCCATGCTTATTTTTCACCATATAGCAAAGGTGCAATGTTTCTGGCTCCCTCTGCCAGTTAGAAGGACAATGAAGAGTCCATTGGGGGTATTGTCGGGGCTGTGGAGGAGTTCATGGTAGACTGAGATTGATAAGAAATAATTCCAAGTTAATTTTATAAAATTTGGTTGCAGCATTCAAGCTGTTGATCACAAAGTTTCGTGAAGTCCTGCTCTGTCTAGCAGGTATATAGTACACTTTATACTTTTCTCTACATTCTGTGGGATGAGTTTTGTTGAAAAGGTTTGTTGTTTTAAAAATGATAACTTGGAAATGTAAATTGCACCGAACGGGGAATAAGGCCCAGCATAGCACAACCAAAGATCTTTTTTAAAAAGGATATGAAACTATGACTAGTTGCAGTAAATACAACGTCGCGACAAAATTTGAGCGAAATACCTTAAAAAATCGAAGCTTGACGCTTCGAAGAAGACCGAGAACTGGGACCGCAGCCTTTATCAAGAAAATAGGTTTGCCGATATGCGGCAACGTACTCTGGGCAAGAAATGGCTTTACAAAGAATGCCCGAGCAGAAAGCTCAGAAGCACTGTCCTGCAATTTCTTAAATTACGTAATTGTTCAGAATTATATTTTCTTTTTATAGTTTGTACCTGAAATAAACATTGTTCATGTACCCTTTCCTCATTTCCCCTTCCCAAAATACTTTATATTTTAGTTTTTAGAGGTCTTTCAAGTTATGGTGGGCCTTATTACCCGAAGTTACCTTATTGTAATAATCTTGAAGTGTTGGAAGAAACTAATTTCATCGACAAACTTGCAGGATAAATAGTTACTAGTGAATTTTCTTTTAATAGTTCTGTGCTAATTGTGTTTATTTTTGGAACGGAGCTGACGTTTTGAGCACTGTATGACCAACTTATCTGGAGGGTATTTTTTACTCTCAATTCCCCCCAGTTAACCATTCATCAAATATTTGTTATCTCGCACGATTGCACGACGTGACGAATGTTTTGTCAGCTGAAGGCATTTCGATTGACATAGTATTCTTTTATTTAATTCTTTTCCTTGACGTCAATGTCGCCGAAATTTAATAGAGCAAAGTTGATTGCACTCGTTGCGGAAGTTCATACATTTTCTTGTGTTCTCTCGAAAAGTATAAATATTGTTAAGGAATGTTGCGGAAAAACCGGCAGATGATAAATATCCTATCAGCTTCTTGTATACAAATCTTTTTACGTTTTTTGCCAACACTTTCATTGCTTCAACATTGATTGCAGTCTTTTTATCAATTTCACGGTGTGCCGTCAATTTGACCTCATTCGATAAGTGAGCTTTCATGCAAATACAACATGCAAAATCCCTGGAAAAGATTAAAAATTCACAATTTAAATGTCCTTTATTTTCCTACCGTGTAAAATTTCTTTAGAATTCCAAAATCTTTAAAAACATTTAAATGCTGAATAAATTGTTTTAAAAAGTATCATAAGGTTGTATCGAAATGTAATGATTTAATTCCATGCGTCGTCTCCTGATTTAAAACTGAAGTAAAAAAGTAAAAAATACATTTTATTTAACGGAACGTAGCATTAATTATGTAACAATATTTCTTTCAGTACGTATAGTCTGTATTCAATTTGAATGTTTTTTCATCCAGTCCAACTCTGTAATTACAATTAAAATTATGCCGGCATAACTTTAATGGACACGATATGTACTCAGAAAGCATCGGCATCATTATTCGACTTCAAATAAATTTTATTCTCTCGGTGAAATTCATCGATATTAAATAAAATATGTAAGAATCTAGAAGGTTGACTTGGCAAATCATACCAGAGTGTAAACAAGCTGGCGGGCGTAAAGCGAGCTCACGGTAAACACCATTTGGAATAATAAATTACGCGAGTGGAGCACTCCCGCACTACTATGCAAATTTCCTTACTCGCACGTGACACGTGTCACACACGGAAGAATCAAGTATTTCTACCAGGATGCTTACGGGTTGTATACCTATAGGCTTTACGATTTTCTAAACTATAATGTTACGTTTTGTGTCTGTCTGCAATGAGACTAAAATGCACTTTTTTTTTACGAATTTAAAGAAAAAAAAGTGACAATAATATAAACATCGTTGTCCGTCACCATCCCGTAATATCTCTGAAATGTAAGACTTAATCGAAATAATATAAAAATAAATATGTATGTCATTTTTATAATATGTGGTGAATGGAAAAGATTTGCCTTACATTTCACACGTGATAAGAGTATTTATTCCTAATTATCAAGAACTAATGGATCTGAAATCAGAACTGGAAACTCCCCCGACTTTATCATCGAACTTCTGATGCTAAATATAAAGAATATTTCTATAAAACCTCTATCGCACCTGGTATCGTATAAAACATTTGCATCAATAAACTGATCACGATGACCGTTTGAAATTAAATTATAATACATTATTATAATAACTCCTATTTCCAAAAAAATTGCCGCTACATATTGTACACCTGAATTGTTGCCAAAAAGTTATTAGAGTTTCATTCTACTTTATATTTGTCCAATTGATGTTAATGACACTGATTAAAGATTATGATTAAGGTAATATGGAAGGGTCATTCTATGTATTCATATATATATATATATAAACATTTTATAATCAATATATCAAAGCGTGAAAATGTTTATAAAACTTTTCTCCAAACTGGGTGCACCGAATTATTTGAAACTTTAACACGTTATCATGGAGGATTATCTGAAACTTTAACGCGTTATCAAGAAAGAACGCGATGCTTGTGAAATTTCATTTTTCACAAAAAAAAAATGTGGCTTGGTTCTACTCTAGGCTAAACAAAAAAAATGTTGCATCAAACAATTTTAAACTTCGATACGCGATAATGTGGGCCTGAAGGAAGAACGCGATGCTCGTAAAATTTAATTTTCACAAAAAAAAAATGTGATTTAGGTTCTAATCCAGAGTGAATAAAAAGAAATTTAGTTTGAAAAATGAAATTTCACAAGCATCACGTTCTTCCTTGGGGTCTCCATAATCACGTGCTAAAGTTTAAAATGATTCGGTGCACAGTTTAGAGAAAAATTTATTATAAATATTTTGACGTTCTGATATATAGAATGACCCTATCATTTTACCTTAAGGCAATATGAAAGTGTGATATATACATAACAAAAAGTCAAAATATTTATAAAACTTTTCTCCAAACTGGATGCACCAAATTATCTGAAACTTTAACACGTAATTACGGAGTCTCTAAGGAATAACACGCTGCTCATGAAATTTAATTTTTCGAAAAAAAAAGTGTACTTATCTCGAACAAGAGCCAAAAGATTTTTTTTCCTTTTTTTTTTTTTTTTTAATGAAATTTCACGGGCAGCGCGTTCTTCCTTAGAGCTTCCATAATCACGTGTCAAAGTTTTAGATAATTTGGTGCACCCAGAAAAATGTTTTATAAATATTTTGACTTTTTGGCCCGTACATATCACACTTTCGTATCATCTTAATCATTATAATATATCATGTAAATCATTATAAATCATGATATAAATATTTTGATTTTTTGGTACTTATATATCATACTTTCATACCACCTTAATCCTTCATCGTCGCCTTTGCCCAGCGTGCATTTTTCGATACTCACAGCTTTCCTATTTCCATCGACGGGGACGCTTTCGGGGTTGATCGATCGGGGCGCGAACTAATTGCTAGAGAACCCACCTCGTTATTGTTGTCCTCGGCGAAGTCCTCGAGCTGCAGGACGTCTTCGAGCTTGGCCGGAGGGTGGCCATTGGCCCTGGGCTCGTCGTGACGGCGCTCGGCGTCCTTGTCGGCGGCGCCGCTCATGGTTTCCGTCTTCATCCCCGTCATCGTACTCCCAGGAGTGCCCGTGTTCGCCGGAGTCGCTGTCGCGGCCCTCTTCGCGATCTGCGCCCGACTGCGAGACGAGAAAATCGGACCATTCGCAAACACGGGGAGAGAAGAAAAAAAAAAAAGAGAAAAAGAGAGGCGATTGAGTAATTCGCTGATTAATCGGCTGGGCGAGGAGAGCGAGGGCGCCAATCAGAAGCGAGTAAGCCGATGCGGGATTTCTTTCAGGATCTGTGATCGATCTCGCTCGTGTGCCCGACCTTCCGGGAGGAACGAACAAATAGGAACGGAAATTATTTCTTTGGACTATTTCAATTTTTCGATGGGAGACTTTTAACACTTTTCGAGGGAAACTTCTTACACGAGGGCACGTGTAAGGTCCCGTGTTATACAATGAGCGCGTTTCGGTATGTCAAATTGTGGACGGTTAACTGCTATTTTCATTCAGCTTTGGGTTTTAATATTAACACAATTTGCGTAAACGTTTCGGTTAGTGTTATTACTTTTGAATGTTGTCTATAAAGTCACTTAACGGCTGCGCTTCCGGTTTGCCGAAGTTGGCATTAAAATCGCCGCTTATTATTCTTCGTATCTCGTCCCAATTCTATTGTTTTACAGCCAATTACTACTTACATTTATCTTTGTATTTTAGTATTGGCACAGTTTGCGTATATTTTGCTTTTACAGTTCATTTCTATTTAGGTTTATTCATCTTTGTGTGTTAGTATAGAGGCAATTTACGTAAGCGTTTTCCCTCGTATTGACACGTTATTTTCGCGATTTATTATTGACGTTTAAAGTGAAATAAAAGTAATAAAAGAAGAAAAAAAAAGAAATGAAAATAATTTGTGCCCAAAACAACCAGTATCGATAGCACAAAAACATTATGTAAAAGAATGATTCATGATATCTAATAACTCCCGTTAACATAAGGTGATATGACAGGGTCATTTTATATATCAAAAGGTCAAAATATTTATAATATTTTTCTCCAAATTGGGTGTACCAAATAATTTAAAACTTCGGCACGTGATAACACAAGGCATTAAAGAGTTTAAAAAAATCGTTCTATGGCCGCAACGCGCGTTGTAAATAAAACTCTTAAGGTGATATGAAAGGATCATTCCATAGATATAAAATGTTAAAATGTTCATAAAACTTTTCTCCAAACTGAGTGCACCGAATCATTTGAAACATTAGCACGTGATTATGAAGGCCCTAAGGAAGAACGCGATGCTCCTCAGATTTCGTTCAAAAGAGAACTTTGTTTATTTAGCCTAGAGTAGAACGAAGAGAACACTTTTGTGAAAAATAAAATTTCACGCATTCTTCCTTAGGGCCTTCATGATCACGTGCTAATGTTTCAAATGATTCAGTGCACTCAGTTTTGAGAAAAGTTTTATGAACATCTTAACATTTTATATGTATGGAATGATCCTTTCATATCACCTTAAGAGTTTTATTTACAACGCGCGTTGCGGCCATAGAACGATTTTTTTAAACTCTTTGATGCCTTGTGTTATCTTGTCGAGATGCAGTAAGGATAACTGATAAACATTTATAACGCATTGCTCTGTGATATCGCGTCGAGAGGAAATCAATGTGTTAGGGGTGGTTGGTGATCATTTATAGCGCATTCCCCTGGGTATGCTTCCACCAATTTCTAGGATTAACTTTTAGGTGTATACGTGATTTTCTGTGAGGTACTCGGTACTAACAAATTGATAAATTGCGGCGGGTGAATGTGATTAATTACTCTGTTGTCCTAGATAACCTACTTATACAATCAGTTCCTGTGTATAGCAAAAAGTGTGGGTCCACCCCGAGATTGAAATGAGTACACCAAGAATTATTCCCTCCCGGATCTCCGCTTCTTATTAATTGCAGTATCTCGTGTTAATAGGGTAAAGTTGGGTAAATTGTACCGAGTTTACAAAACTGCCAATAGAAATGTTTTTGGCAGGATGTTTTAGTGAACGACTCATATTTCATTTACCTGTGAAATACTGCATGTAATGTGCACACATGCAGGTACATACACGCTATTTAACACGGTAGACATTCAAATGAAATATTCCTTACAGTGGTACGATTTAAACAGCTCATTTGGTAAATCGTCCCACCAGATGAGTAAATTGTCCTCTTTTATTGTAATAAAGTCGGATAATTTTTACCACATACGAGAAATGGATTCACAGCAAAACATTGACCATATAAGTAAAATTCGGAAAAGAAAATTGATTACATAAATCATATTCTACTATAAAAAACGTATATATGAAATTCAGTAGATTTTACATTAGCGCATTTTTCATGAAACCACATTTTATAATATAATGGCTTCTCTCATATCTTAAGATAACCATGTTCCATTATTCTTTTTTACGCCATTTCTAAACAGAATCACGTTTACCGAAGGGTGACTATTTAGATAACCAAAGTTTTGAATTAATAAACACAGTTGGGATAATTGTACCGGGATGAATTACCCGATTATGTAGTGGGACAATATTGCCGATCGGGACTTGTTTTCAGTTTTATAATTTTTAAAATGTCCGTTTAGGGTTATGCAAAAGGTAATACATGTATTGGCATGAAAATTAAATTAACTTTTTAACATTTATTGGTGACAATTTTTTAACGTACCCCACATGGGGTAATCGGTTGGAAACGATGCGGCAAAATTAGTAATGCATTGGCAAACTAATGTAATATGCCTTTGACTTTAGTATTCACCGGTGCTGCCACCAAATATTAGGTATAAACAAATGTTGCAAGCCTATGTTCATAATTTTCCAGTTATATAGCCATTTCTTAGGGTGTGCTTAAATATCGTACTAGTACAAGTTGACCGACGGTACGATATCTCCTACTTACCCTAAGAAATGGCTATATAACTGGAAAATTACGAACTTAAGCTTGCAACATTTGTTTATACCTAATATTTGGTGGCAGCACCGGTGAATACTAAAGTCAAAGGCATATTACATTAGTTTGCCAACGCGTTACTAATTTTGCCGCATCGTTTCCAACCGATTACCCCATGTGGGGTACGTTAAAAAATTGTCACTAGTAAATATTAAAAAGTTAATTTAATTTTCATGCAAACACATGTATTACCTTTTGATAACCCTAAACGGACATTTGAAAAATTATAAAACTGAAAACAAGTCCCGATCGGCAATATTGTCCCACTACATAATCGGGTAATTCATCCCGGTACAATTATCCCAACTGTGTTTATTAATTCAAAACAAATGTTCTTAAATATCGTACTAGTACAAGTTGACCGACGGTACGATATCCCCTACTTTTCCCTACCCTAGAGAAGTTGTCTGCTTTTTACAGATAGTTAGTATTAATTTATGGGGCATATTTCCCTGGGTACATCTGCCCCACTTCCCTGAATTACTTTTAATCCGTACACGTACCTATTTATTCAGTGCATTCTAATGAATAGACTAACAAAAAAATATATACCAAAATTGAACAGGACATACAGGTCTTCAGATACCGACAGTAGACTTCTTTTTTCAATATTTGGGATTTTCAAATATCAATATTTTGTTTCAGAGTTCCTACATAAATGCATGACACGTAGAAATAATTTCTTTGATATACATTTCTTTCGGTACGTCGCTTTACACCTATTTCCCTCGGTTCAAAATTAGTGCACATATTTCCCCCGGCGCACCAAAATATTTATTCTAATTTCGTGCAACGCGAACTGGACCTCTAAAAATAACCCGAACAGCATCCCTGTGATTAATGAGGAAAGATTGGAGACTGCAATCACTCGGTGGAGGGGACTCCCTCCACGGGCGACGTCGCGGCGCCTGAGGGAGCGTCGCGACGCTTCGCGATCGAGGCGATCGAGTCGCCGATTCGCGATCGACGCGAGAAAACAATATTTGCCTCCTCCCCCTCGGAGTGTTTGCGTGGTAAAAACTTTCCAAGACGATAAACTCGCGAGTTGGTCGTTTCCGACGAAACTGATCAACGTTCGAGTCGCGTCGAAAGTCACGTTAGTTGGATCGAAGTACCTTATTTAAGATGATATGAAAGGCGCCGAGAAATTTAATCGAGGTCGATAAATTAGAATTCATCTATACCCTTTTTGGTGGTAACGCCATTTTGAATACTCAAGTGGTAACATAAACTGGCGCGTCCCGTAACCGACATTTATATTTACATTGAAGCCTTTTTGCAGTCTACGTTGGGAATTGTACAAACTGAAGCGTTCCATATGTCATTTCGGTAAAGCAATGATGAAGAGATCGACGTAAAACTGTCGAAATCCCGTGAATTCATTATTCTAACGACTGTTTAGGGCCAACGTCGCCATCTGTGACGTTTAGCTGCAACTAAATTTTTTCTCTAAAGACACATGTTAGTCCTGAGACATTGTCTTGCAATCGTTGGTGAAAGTATTTCCCATACTTTCCCATCTGACTCTGTAATATGCCATTTCTACGATATTCTAAATTGTTCGAGGTAGGTCCTGAAACTCTTCATTTTCTGTTCCAAGCCTCCAAAAATCGTAAAACAGCGAAAACGTGTATGGACCCCGCCACGTTGGTTCTAGTCCGTGATAAATAAACAAATTTTGGATAAATAATGAAATTTCATGAGTTTCAGGGCCTACTTTAAAGTCTCCATGTTCACGTGGTTAAATTTGAAACGAATCGGTACCCCCAATTCGGAGAATACTTCCACCAACGATTTGACTTCTCAGATATATCTAGGCTGACTCTTTCATATCACTTAAGGTAAAAATTTTTAAGATGGCGTGAAAGCACCGAGAGGTTCTGACAAACCGCCCTGTACTCCCGATGTATATTTTTGGTTTATAATAGTGATTCAAACTTAATGATTTAGAGCTACAGAAAATTCCGAAGCTTGTCAAGCGAGGCATAATGCTTCATTTGAATAATTATTCAAGGTGACAAATTACTCGATATACAAGGTGCGAGGAGAAACATTTATGATTGACTTTAATCGGCAATTAGATTTGGATATAGTTTGAGGAAACAATTTTCGAGGTAACAGACACGCGGCATGACCTCG